GATCTAGAAATTTGGTTTTTTTTAATTAAATATCACACTGAAAATACTATATGAACCAATTTTCATATATTACAAAAATATAGTTTTCATGAAAATGGGAATATAATTTTTCTAGATGTGAACATAAAATAAAATTTCTAAATTTCATTTGGAATTTTATTCGTCTGGAGTAAAATAAAAATCAAATTCATATTTTATGTCCATATAAAATTAGCATTTTTCTTAAATTTGTCTCCAAAAATAAATTTTAACAGGTAATTTCTTAAATTTTATTTATCGGTTTTATAATTATATAACAAATAAATATAACATAACATAACATAATGTTTTTGGAAATTTAAAATGATAAATTTTATTTAAAATTATTTATCCTTTAAAAGATAATATATAAATTCTATCAGATTTTGGAAAAAAATAATTGACTTGAGGTTTTCGACCTTTTCCTTGATTATCAAGCAATTTTTACTAGTTGCAATACTTGGAATTATCTCTTATTATAATATTACTTTTTCTGGTTTTATGGATTTAGAGCTGTTTATGGAATGATTTGAAAAATATCGTCTTTATGATTCGTTTTATAAACTAAGGTCATAGGGTTACCTTGACTATATCAAATTTGTTTAATAGATGCATATGGAATTAGTTTAAAATATTTGGAACTTCTTGGATATTACAAAAAATCTTCAGGATTATTTAGGTGGTATACCTTAAATGGATTGGTTTATTCAAATTGGCAAAATAAATTTCAGTTTTAGAAAGGACCTATATAATAAAATTTTATTTGATATAATAAAAATAATTAACTCTTTCGATCTGACTATGTACGTAGTCGATTTCTTGTATACTAGAGTGACCCATTTCCGAGTATTTTTGTGTTATGCATAAATTGAAGAATGCTTCATCAAAAAATGGATCAAACTAAAGAAAATGTTGGAATTATGATTTTGCGGAATACATGAATCTGACCACAAAATAATTTCTTTAAGGAGGTAAATCTTCTAAAATTAGATTAAAATTTTTAAAGCTGATGTAATATCATTTGCACTCAGCTCTGACCTTATAGTACATGATCTTTTATTGATGTTACAATGGGCTATAAGATAGTAAGTGTTCGATTTACGCTTGCAAAAAAATGAGGATGTTTAAGTTTGGAAGGGCGTTAAAACTAACAATAGCAACCTCTTTGTTGGTATTCACTCAATCAGAATTTTTTTGCTTAGTTATATTTGGATAAAATTCAATATTAGACTGTTTAATTTTAAACTCCTCACATTAATCATACCTATCATTTTGGTTATGAATATATTAAAATCATAATCATATATTGTTCTATAAGCATGTTCTAAAACTGCGATATTTTTCACTCTGCATGTGTCTTTATATAAATCAAACATCATCTTCGTAATACCTTTCTTCATTACTAGGGATATATAATCATAGAGCTTATCTATCTTTTCTTCTTCAATTACTTGGGTCATTTTAAATGAAAAATATAATACAATATGAATTCTCAAAAAAAATTCAAAAAACATATTTTTAATGAATATAGCATAATTTAATGCTCAAAAATAATAAAAATTACCAAAAAAACATATTTTCAAAGGATAAAGCATAATATAATCGTCAAAAAAATAAAACGTTGGAGATAGAATAATTTGAAAATTCATCCTTTTTTGTTATAGAAAAATATAATCCTAAACATATTAAAACAATATTGGTGATAAAATGATCAAATGGTTATTTTTATCAATTCTATTGGTTGGATGGATATAGAATAATTCAATCCAACAAAACATGGCACATAGTATAATTTAATTCAATTTTTTGTTTGGATCGATAGTTCATTAAAATATAGCTTTTGCAGATGGACCTAGAATAGTATAATACTCAGGTGGCAAACTGTAAACTATGGGCAAAGCAAAAAATAATTTGAAATTCTGTTTTTCAGGACCAAGACAATATTTAGTGTATGGGCAATTCCACGTCAAATCGATCACGATTCGACCGACCCCTTTTAAAATTGTTAAAAATTTCTGGAATTATTTAGAAGGGTAAATAAATGAGAAAGCCGTTTATTTTAGCTCTCTAGCACACATGGTTCTCGAGATATAGGGGCTCATAGGTACAAAAAAGAGCCACTTTGGAATCTGTAAAATTTTTAAAAAGCTTATATCTCAAGAACTATTTATAGTAAAAAGATATATAATATATCATATTGTAGGTAAAAAAAATCTCTAAAAGGCTATCAAAAAATAATAAAAATTGGCGCCAATTTGAATCTTTAACTTCCGGTTTTTCTATAATGCTTTACCTGTATTTTTAAGCAAAAAAGGGAGTTTGTTTTCGAAATTTTTTTATTGCTTTTTATTTAGACACCTTTTATAAATATATATACGATGTCAAAACTTTGGCGACGCTATCGACTCCAAAAATTTAAAAAAATAATAGATGGCGCTTTATGAAATTACGGATTTTGGTTAAAATTTTGCTGCAAACTTATCAATAAACGGATATTTTCACTTTTTATACTAAAAATATTTTAAATTTCTATTAAATATACTAAATAAATTGAGGGGCAGTGTGGGTAAATGCCCATTAGACACTTAATAATGTAATATATTTCCAATAATAAAATCTTTCGTATAATTTTTTTATTATTCATTCATATTAATAATATAGAAATAGAGATAGACAATCATATTCATTCCATAATTTAAAATTTGTGAAATGTTATATTTAATATTTGCGATTCTGTTGAATTAGAATAAAATTTTGTTTCAATTTTATCCTGAGAAAATGGGAGATTCCCCAATTGATTGTAGGGATATATTAATGTTTTCAATTGCCTCTTGATTAACTATATGAGGAGGAGAATCAATATCATTGTCATTATAAGGAAGCTTTGCTAATTTTTGTCGGCATGAAGAGCATATTAGCATATTTAAATTGATTGGTAAATTTTTTTTGGTCATCCAAGGTTGAATCTTTCTTAGATTCTTGCAATAATATGCGTGTTTTTGTAAATTAAATGGGTTACAACATCTTGATATTTTAATATTTGGTATATCCATCTTTTATATAGAATAAAATTTTATTTAATTTGAACCTAGAATATGGCTTGTTTAAAATTAATCTGATCGGAAAAAAAATTATATTAAACAGAAAGAGATTGTTTTAAACTTTTAATTTTTTAAAATATTATTATCGTAAAATATAATCGATAATATGTCTAATATAAATTCTTTTTTAATGCAGCTGTTATACATTATCGTGCCAAAAAGTCATTCGCTATTATAGTAGTAAAGCAGAGATCTAAAATATGTAAAAAATTTAAGGATGGTGGGGGGGGGGGAGCAGAACTGGAAAATTTTATCGCATTTCTTATAAACTTATAAATATTTTCATTTTTAGAAATAATATTTTTTAAAACATTAGCGCCATCTATTTTTTTTACGATTTTTGATAAAAATGTATATTTTGGAAGAGTCGATAGCATCGCCAAGGTTTTGACATCATACATATATTTATAAAAGGTGTCTAAATAAAAAGCAATAAAAAAATTTCGAAAACAAACTCCCTTTTTTGCTTAAAAATACAGGTAAAGCATTATAGGTAAACCGGAAGTTAAAGACTCAAATTGGCTCCAATTTTTATTTTATTTTGATAGTCCTTTAGAGATTTTTTTTTACCTACAATATGATATATTATATATCTTTTTACTATAAATAGTTCTTGAGATATAAGCATTTTAAAAATTTTACAGATTCCAAATTGGCTCTTTTTTGTACCTATAAGCCCCTATATCTCAAGAACCAGGTGTGCTGGCGAGCTAAAATAAACGGCTTTCTCTTTTATTTCCCCTTCTAAATAATTCCAGAAATTTTTAACAATTTTAAAAGGGGTCGGTCAAAAATGGGCCTTTTTTGATCGATTTGACATGGAATGGCCCATATCGTGAATGATTAAATATATTTTGTTTTTTTATTTGCCCAAAGTTATCTTATTTAAAATATGTGGAATGTATAAAATTGAATTTTGGTTCCTTTTATTCATTATTATTGTTAAAGACTTTTGAAAAGTAACTAGTTATAACATCTACAAGGGTAATATCACAATATAATATTTATTTCCATCAAAAAAATATAAGAAATAATATAATATTTATTTTTCATAAAAATTTAAAATTAATAAATTTATTTGACTTAAAAATATGCTTTCTTAGACTAAAAAACATTCTATAAAGTATTCGATTTAAATAAGACATTGTAATTTTAATTTTGGAAATCATATAAATAGGTTACGTAATCAGCAAATTCTGGCAGACTCCAAAATGGCTTGACCATTTTTACGAGTAAGCCCAATTAGGCTTAGCCTAAAAATCAGAGAAACCTAATTAAATTTAACCTATTAGACATAGCCTAAATAATTAGACTCAGCCTAAAAATTTGCTATGCCTAATTAGGAGGCAAGATTTTTAGCTGATTATGTAACTACATATAAATATAAAGAATATATATTAATATATTTTAAAAAATAACAATTTTTTTAAAAGAGTTATATTTTGGAGTATAGCATTTCGTTATTTTTTCACAAAAATGTAATTATATAAATTTAAAAATATTAATCATAAAATAACCAAAATCAATAATATCAGATTGGATTGGTTTTTTTAAAAAAATATCAGCCTATTCCAATTTTTTTAAATCTACCTTGATCTGATATTAAATCTCAGCTAAGTCCTACATTTTAATCCTGTTAAGAATATATAGTACTTAAAAAACTTCAAAAAGAAGAGGCTATAATTTTATTATTTATAATAACACTTGTTAAACTGTATCTAATATATATTTAAAAAGTCATACTATTATGTAAGGAATTTAAATTATTGTGTATGTTTATATATACTTATATAAAGCTACAATCTTATATATTTAAACAAAAAACATTTATATCTATTGGTTAGTTAATGGTAAGCATAATATAATTTATATGAATCTTACCTGTGCTAGTATAAAAAAAGAAAGTTATGATTGACTGGTAAGTAACTAATTGAGTCATAAAATGTTTTATCTCAGTTATATTTAAATTTGAGGTGAGGTAAAAAAAATATTAGCTTGATTTCTTATCTACATACAAAACATAAATAAATGAAAAAGTTTAAATATAGAACACTTTTTTGTTTGCCTGAATATTGGAACTAGTCGATCCGACTACAACTAAATTCAATGGACTACATAGTGAATGTACACAAATCTAATGTATAAATTGGAATATATGTTAATTTACAGGTCACACTTTGTCCTTTAATTATACGAGAAAGTTTAGCATTGGGGTCACTAGGGAGGGGCGCGCAGGGGCTCGAGCCCCCTAAAAAATTTTATTAGCCCACTGAAGCAAAAAAAAATAAATTTAATGGCTCGTTAATATCCCCTTGAACTAAAAATAAATTTTTTTGATTGCATCTAAACGATTTCTTTATTTAAAAATTAATAAGACTATCTAAATTTTTATTAAATGACTACTATTTTAATCATAAGATTAGATTAAAAAATATAAATTATATTTTCACTATGTCAGCTTGCAATCATATGTTAAAAATAGAATATAAATATCACTCACTAAATATTAATTTAGTAGTTGAAGCTTAATTGACTTTTATTATTTAAATTATAATATAACCCTAATTAAATTTATATAATAATTTATTAATTGAAAATTAACAAATTTAATATTGTAATTAGCCGAGTTCAAAATCACTAATCAACTATAATATTCATTTTAAATTTAATTACCATGCCTATTCCTAAAAATATTTTATAGGTCCAAATAAGTATATGAGATTTCTTTATAAAATGTAAGATTATATATAATTGATTATAAAATATTAGGTAAATGTCACTTCAGACGTATTTGACAGTTATATATTATATTATTGTTAATATTTTAATAAATTTTACTAATAAATGCTTTGATAATAAATGTAAGTAACAATTTGCATTTAATTTTTTAACGCCATCTATTTATTTTAAAGTATTATTAAAATTAAACATCTTTATTATTCATCCCACAATGGATGTAATAAATGAGATATCTTTTCTTCTCTTTATTTATGTATTTTTAGGAAAGCTATTTTTTTTCTTCTTTGAAAAACAGTGTTAAATACACGAGTTTATTTTTGATATTATTACAAACTACTATTATTTTATGATATAATATACCAACTAGAGCAGTGGCGTCGCTAGGGGGTGGCGCAGGGGCTCTAGCTTCTTAAAATGTTTGAATAGCCCTCTGAAGCAAAAAATTTTTTTTTAATGGTTCCTTAATATTCCCTTGAGCTAAAAATAAATATTTTTAATTGCCCTCTGAATAATTTCTTTTATAATTCTATTGAGTAATATATAATTTAATTTTATTAAAAAATTAAAAAGACTATCTTAATTTTTATTAAATGAATACTATTTTAATTATTAGATTAGATTATTACATATAAATTATACTATGTCAGCTTGCAATCAAATTCTATGTTAAAAATATAACAATATCACTCACTAAATATTAATTTAGCATTAACAGTTGAAGCTTAATTGACTTTTATTATTTAAATTACTATATATCCCTAATTAAATAAATATAATCATTTATTAATTGATGCATAATTTAATATTTTAGCCGAGTTCAAAATCACTAATCAACTATATTATTGATTTTTAAATTTAATTATCATGTCTCTTCCTATAATTCTAAATTCAAATAAGTATAAGAGATTTCTTTATAAAAAGTAAGTAGACATATAGTTTATAATCTATTATATATAATTTTTTATAAATTATTCGTAAAATGCCACTTTTACAGACGTATCTGACAGTATAATATATTACAGTTAATATTTTTAAAACTTTACTAATAAATGCTTTTGATAATTAATATAAGTAACAATTAACAATTTGCTTACAAATATTTAACGCCATCTATTTATTTACAATATAATTAAATTTAAGCGTATTATTATTCATCCCTTAATGGATGTAATAAATTAGATATCTTTTCTTCTCTTTTTTACGTGTTTTAAGAAGCTATTTTTTTCTTCTTCGAAATATAGATTTGAGTTAAATTTTTAATACGAATATATTTTTAATATTATTACAAACTACTATTATTTTAAGATATAATATACCAATTAGAGATGGTGCGATAATAATATATAAAATCTTAATTGCTTTCATGATATCACTCTGGTTCTTATTTTGTAGTTACAAAATGTTTCATTTTTAATATGGCATTTTTGCCGTGTAAATAACTCAAGGCTTTTGCATAATTTCTTCTAAAGGTTTTTAGTGTTTTTGTTTTATCTATTTATCTAACAGAATAAATTCTGATATGGGTTACCATCGTGAGTGTCATGGCTAGGACTGCAAATTAACTTGCATCTATTATTTGTGTGGCTATGTAATTTAAGATTATTACTACAGCTGCTGAGAGCATATGATCGCATATTTCAGATAAGCAATAATAGTCAACTGTGTAGTCGTTTATATACCATTAAAAATGGAAGATAATCTTTTAGAAATTTAATATCATACAATAATTTTCTCGATTACTTATCTAGCCTCCATCATATCATCTAAGAGGAAGCTCTAACCACCATTTAGTTTTATGATTTGGATTGGTCGTTTATATTCTCTTCTTCAAGAATTGTTGATTTGGTAAGGTCTATAAAATTTTTCTTATTAGTCCATTCTATAAAACATTTTCTAAAATGGTAATAGAGAGTTATATTAGTTTCACGACCTTTGTCAATGTAAGTTGCTAATATTATATTATATTATGTAGTTTTCAACTATTATCAATTGAGGCATATATATATGAATTAATTAACCTTTTTTATCATTTATAATCTTTAGGCGTAAAATTTTTTTATATCAACAATCGAAAATATTTTATACTATAAGATTTTGTATTAAAAAATATTATTTTTAGAAATGTCTTGTAATGCTAGTTTATTTTGCATGCAAAATATAATAAATGACATTCAGAATAATTATTTAGAGTTAGTAAATTTTAAAAAAGTATAATATAATATAAAACCCGGCCGAAGCCTGGGCAAAAGCAGGCCGAAGGCCCGCAAGTTGGGTGGTATGGAGGGCGTGAGCCCCCTGAGATTGTAAAGGCTAGCGACGCCCCTGAACTAGAGGTAGTGCGATCATATCACTCTCGTTTTTATTATAGTTAAAATGTTTCATTTCTAATATGGCATCCTTGCCATGTAAATAACTCAAGGCTTCAATATATTTGCATAATTTCTTCTAATTATTTTTAGTGTTTTTGTTTAATCAAGCATAATAAATTTTGATATGAGCTAACATCGTGGGTGTCATGTCTATGACTGTTAATTAACCAGCATCTATTATTTGTGTGGCTATTTAGTTGAAGTTTTTTACTATAGCTTCTGAGAGCATATTTTAGATAAGCAATAATAGTCAATTGTGTAGTCATTTATATATCATTAAAAATGGAAGATAATCTTTTAGAAATATAATATCTCACAATAATTTCCTCGATTAGATATCTGGCTGCCATCATCTAAGAGGGAGCTCTTAACACCATATAGTTTTATGATTTGAATTGGTCGTTTATATTCTCTTCTTCAAGAATTGTTAATTTGGTTAGGCCTATAAAATTTTCCTTATTGATCCATTCTATAAAACATTGTGTAAAATGGTAAAAGAGAGTTATATTAGTTTCATGACTTTTTGTCAATATAAGTTGCAAAGAATTATAATGCCTTATGTGGTTTTTAAAAACCATTATATTAAGGCATATGTATGAATTAATTAACCTTTTTAATCACTTGTAATTCTTTAGAAGCAAAATTTTTTTATATCATCGAAAATATTTTATACTGTAATAAATAGATTTTGAATTAAAAAATATTATATTTAGAATGTCATGTATTGTTTTATTTATTTACATGCTAGTTTATTTTATATGCATAATATGATAAATGACAAAATGTAAAATTCGGAATAATAGTTCCAAGTTAGCAAATCTTAAAAATGTATTATATATTAATATAAAACCCGGCTGAAGGCCTACAAATAAGGGGGGGGGGGTATAGGGGACGAAGGTCCTCATAATTTTTTTTTAGTTGAGCCCCCTGAGATTGTAAAGGCTAGCGACACCTCTGAAATTTATGGAATTAAATATACCATTGTTGATCTAAAAGATGCATATTTAAAAATGGAGGTTGTAAAAATCACATGATTATTTTAAATATTGCAGCACACAACGGATATACTCGATATCAAAAGATACCATTTGGTTTATCTTATGAACTTACTATTTTTCAGAAATGTATGAATAATTTGTTGAAAGATTATTTATGAATAGGGTTTACATTGATGATTTTATCGAATCAGGTAAAAATGACGAAGAGTATCTCACCAATCTCAAACAATTTTAAAGCATTTACAAAGGGTAGGTTGGAAAACAAGTGTCAAAGATACATTTTTTCAAAATTTCCTTTTTAGAAGTAAACATTGATGAAATAGGGATTCATCCGAAACAAGAAAAAGTCGTAACTCATAAGTGGAGTTCCGAGTCCTATTAATAAGCGCCAGCTTAGAGTTTTTCAAGGCTTGATTAATTATAAGGTAAGATACAATTAAAATCTTCATGAAAAGGTTGCTACTTTACATCGATTGACTAGCAACAAGATAAAAAGTATATCAGGCTGACAGAAAGAAGTGATTAAGTCAAAAGTTATGATTAATCATAATATTGTTGATTCTGCGGATAGAACTATTAGAAAACATGCTATTCGGATATGGAAACGAGTGGTGTTATCCCAACTTGATAAAACAGGAGAAAAATCTTGTGGAGACAAAAAAAAAATTATTGATTCAAATAGTAATTTAAGTAGTGTTGTTAAATAGCCGAGTTTTTACGACTCTGAACTCAAGATGGAGTTGCAAAACTCATTTGAAATTGAGCGACTCAATGAGTCGTATGAGTTGATTCGATGATTCGGTTCGATGAGTCGTCTTCAGAGTCGGCTCTATGAATTAGATTCAGAGTCAACTCGATGAGTCTGATTCAGAGTCGGCAAAAAATTTTTTTAAATCGGCCTACCAC